CAACACTATCCTAATGATCTCTCATGTTCAAGTCCATGAGGCAGTCACTGTGTCAATCCATCTCAGTGAGGGTTTCCTGTCTTTCACTGATCCTTTATTATGGCTAATATTGAGAAGAATGGGAATCCCAGAAATCTCAATTGTGCTCATATGAAACCTACACCTAGACCTGTTGTTCGAACAGAAGGAAACACTGCATGGTTTAAAAGAATAATAATAAAAAGTGTGCATCAGGGCTGTATCCTTTCTCCACACTGATTCAATTCATGGACTAAGCAAACAATTCTAGAAGCTGGACTTTATAAAGAAGAAATGTGGCATCAGGCTCAGGAGAAGATTCATCAACAAATAACCTATTCTACACAGAGGACACAACCTTGCTTGCTGAAAGTCAGAAGAACTTGAAACACTTCCTGCACAGGATCAAAGACTACATCTCAATGTTAAGAAAATAAAAAAAAATCCCCCTTTGCTGGGCCAATAGACAACATCATGACAGATGGAGAGAGGCTGAATTTGTCAATGATTTAATCTTGCTTGGATCCACAGTCAACACCCTTAGTACCAACAGTCAAAAAATCAGTAGATGTGTTGCTATTGGGAAAATTTGCTCTCAAGGACCTCTCTGAGGTGTTAAGGAGTAATGATGTCAGTTTAAAGACTAAGGTGCACCTGGTTCAAGCTATGTGTGTAAAAGTTGGACAATGACTAAGGATAACAGAAAAAGAATCAAAGCCACAGCTCAGAGTGGTGTGGTGTTGGAGAAGAGTATTGAATATCCTATGGACTGCCAAAACAACAAACAAATCTATCTTAGAGGAAGTGCAGCCAGGGTGCTCTTGAGAGGTTAGGACGGTGAAACTTCATTTCACATACTTTGGGCATGTTGTTAGGAGGGGCTACTCCTTGGAAAAGGACATCAAGCTTGGAAGGTTGGAAGGGCAGCAAATGTGCAGACAGCCCTCAACAAGATGGATTGACATAGTGACTGTAACAGATACTGAGGACGACAATAGGATAGGGCAAGGTTTAGATCTGTTCTTTATAGGGTTGCTGTGAACTATAGTCGACTCAATAGTACCTCCCAACAATAACAATAACTACCTTTCCCAGAGACCGGGCAGGAGAGGAAGAAGCTCAATGAAATGCACTGACTCAGTGACTAAAGTCACTGAGGTAGGTGTGTCAGAGACAGTAAAACTGACTCAGGATAGAGCAGGGTTCAGAGCTATTGTACATAGGGTCGCTATGAGTCGCAAGCTACTCGATGGCACATAACAACAACAACAACTTTTCCCAGCATGAAGTCTCTGTCCAAGGACTGGATTCTCCTGCAAATATACGCAAAGTAAGTAAGATCACTAGCAGATACAATAAACGACCAGAGATTCACAGAAAAAATTGCTGTGGCTGAGACCTGGATTTGGACTTTTAGCCTCTAGAGGTATGAGTCAATAGCTTCCTGTTCTTTAACACTGTGTAGTATTTCTGTTATGGCAGCCCTAGGACTGAGGCAGCTCCCTCATCTCCTTACCAGCTTAGGACACCAGTCATGCAGACCTTCTGTTGCTATTATTTGAATGTGCCAAGCTCCTTTCTATCTTAGGCCTTCTGAGCCTACTGGTCCTCTACTCAGACTGGATGCTGTTCAGCCTGGTAGCCACACTGCTGACTCCTGATTGTTGAGGTTGAGATCCAAGAGGGAGGTCCTGTGGCTTCTGAATGTGCCTGGAGTGTCTGGGTAGGTCCACACCCACACCTGTGGTCTGATCTCATGAAAATGATCATGGGAGCATCTAACTCAGAGCCAGTCTACCCTGGGGAGCCTCCTAGAGCCAGGAGGGGCAGTGATGAAAGCATGAATTCTGTGAGTATCATTAGGAGACTCCACAGGAGGCGAAAGACTCCGAGCCTTCCACAAGGCACAGTCCTGCTTTGTGGAGATACTTTGGAAGGGAAGGTACAGCTTGGAGCTGATGGTTCGTGCACTGGGTCTGTGTGGCAAATTTGATGGTTTCTGGGTGGTCAAGTTGACCTGAAGACACTTTTCATTCTCCTTAGATCAGAGATCTGCTCGTCAGTGAAGACCAGAGAGCCTGGCCTGTGGCAGGCAGATGGTAAGCAGCAGTGGGGGAGGTGCTGGAGTAGTGGCTGGTGGGTTGGAGGAAGGCCAGAAGGTGGGAGAGCTCAATGGACACAGGGAGAAGGCAGGGCCAGGTCAAGACTGTCTAGGCATGGCTGCCTTCACTCTGGGTGGGAGCAGGATGGAGGTGATCTGGAGACAGGAAATTCCAGAACGCTTGGTAGAGGTGGCCTCCAAATTCACTGAGAGAGAAGGAAGCTTCAGAGGCCCTATGACCCTCATTTGTACCCCTATTCCACCTCATAGCTGCTACCTTTGTCCTCACCTGTACCTCCAACCAGCACCTTCATCCCCCACCTATACCCCCACAACTTCCTCCCCATAACTAGTACTTCGTCCTAATCTATACCTACACTGTACCTCCACCTCCATCACCAGGGCATTTATTTCTTTTGCATACTCATGTGGTTTAACTAAGGGGTTCATAGCCTTAGGACAGGGTCAGTGTCCCACCTTTATCCCTTTCCTGGGACCTTGCAAAGCTCAAGGGCTGGAGGGAAGAGGAGAGAGTCGCTGCTGGCTGTGGAAAGGCTTCAGGCCCATTTTTAGGGTTCGCTGCTCATAGGATCCCTCCAGGAGCTTGAAGGAGGTTCCTGCCAACCTGACCCTTTGGGTCTCAATCATTTCTTTTGATCATCAAACTATATAGACTTCAAATCTAGTTGGAAAGACATGATTCTTGAACATTTCACATATATTGTTTTGGTCCAAAATGTCATGAACATTTCCAGGAATAGTTCTTGGTTTTTGTTTTTGTTTCTCTGGAAGTTTATTGCAAGATAACCATTCTTATTTATTTTGCAGCAAAAGGAAGATGGGCAATCTCCTATCATGCGATTTAGTGCCTCTGAAAACCTGCTGGAGAGTCCTCTATGAGTCATTCAGACTCGACACTACACAATAGCATTTTGTGTGAAAGAACCCCAGGTTTTGTTGTTATGACATCCACTTCATGAGGGGAACCTAGGACGGATTTTCTTCACCGTGTGTGAACATTACATTACGTTGTATGGTGTCTGTCTGCCTTGTATGCAAACTCTTATGGTCCCTATTATACATGGGGACTCTATTGTGCATAGTACTTCCCAGGTGTGGGAACCCTAAGGTGTGTCGTGTGGTGTATCTGGTATCCTGTAGAGAACGCCAGGTCACGCAGGAGTGTCCATGGTTGTATTGTGTATTGACTGACATTCTTGGGTGGTATTCAGTGGCACCCCTTTCACGTGAGAGCAGCTCAAGTCATGTTTGTGTGGGGACCCTTTGTGGGGACATTTGGTGTTGTTATGTAGTTAATCTTGTGTAGGGGAAAGTGGATGAAGGACATAGATTCCCCATTGTGTGATGTAAGCTAGGGTCAGGAGCGTGTGTGGATTCAGGACATGCAGTGGAGGTCACATAGGTGTGCCAATGCAAGTCTCTTAAGAGGGTTTGGGGTTGTGCACAGCGCTCCGTGAGGGAGCCCCCGAGGGGGAGGCAGAGTACTGGCATTTTTCCACAAGGGCAGGAAGCAGCTTCAGTCGGAAAAGTGTCCTGGGGCCCCTAACACAGTTGCCACGTTCTCCAAGCCGACTTCGAACCGGCGGGCCAAGTGAGGCCGAACGCGGCCGAGGAGAGCCGAGTGAGGTCGAGAGGGACCGAGCAAGGCCGAGAAGGACCGAGCACGAGCGAAGAGAGCCGAACGAGACCGAGTAGAGCCGAGCGGAGCCGAGCGGAGCCGAGCGCGGCCGGGCGGGGCCGAGTCCCGGCCGAAGGGCGCGCGGGGCGGGGTTAGCTGGTGTTCCTGGAAGAGCCGGTCTGGGGAATTGGTCACATTCTTGGCGGCGATTCCGCGGCCGCGGCCGACGCACAGCAACAAACAGCGCGGGGCGGGGCGGGGCGGGGCGGAGGCGGGGCCTGTGCGGGGCGGGTCTGCGCGGGGCGGGGTCTGTGCGGCGGCATTAGCTCAGCTTCGGGCGCGTAGTCCCTGCCTGAGCGCGGAGCCGGGAGGATGTTCGCTGAGTGCCCGCAGGCCTGCGCCGCCGCCTCAGCCGCCTCCGCCGCCACCTCGTCCGCCGCCGCGCTC